CAGGAATGGCACATGGAAAATCTGAGTGCTGTTTTTGATCTTAAGAGTTTAGCTCATCACTGGCTCCTGCCAGGACTTAAACAGGGAGTTATAAACTGTTTCAGGTACAATGTCAGCCCTTTCCATATCTCCCTGCACTTTAAGTTCTATTTTCATGGGCATTTAAATTATTTTTTTTTCTGTGCAGAATGGAAAATGTAATTGGAAGTTGAAACTCTTTATGTATGAAGTGTGTGTAGGATTTTTTCTGTAATTTTTGTTTATTAGTTTACCTTTAAGTCAAACTGCAAAGCTGAGATTGAGTTGTGACTTTTCAGGTGATGTCCTTGGAAAATATATTAGTCTTTCATTATGCCTCTGACTTCTAAGAGCCACACTGGAATTTTAATGGTTTTGAATCATTCTTTTTGATCTAATACATATCCAGTCTCATCTAGTTTTTAACAGTTGACTAACAGCCCAATGTTTGTGTTTCTTGTTTTGATGGAAGTATCGCATTCATTTAGAGAGTGAAAAAAGTAATAAACTATAAAAACCTTCACAGTTGTATGATTTGGTTACCCAGTTTGCTTGCTGTATGTGGACAAAGCTCTTGATCTGAGATGGAAATTTCTGATTTTATCCTGTCCCACTTGTATAATTATCTAGAATACAGACAAAGATGTTTGTCACCTGAATTCAGCCTCCACATTTAGGATGGCAGCCTGACCCCTTACTCCATGGACGTGCTGGCAGCCAGCAAGCCCATAATATGTGCATAGCTTCATTGGCGTGTTTATAGATGCAGATGAAACTGTTGTGACTTCCTTGTAATACCTGATATTTTCCCTCCGAAATAAATTCAGGGGCGTGTGTTGGATGTTTTTTAAACACTCAGCAGTGATTTGCTCGAAGGAGCTTTTTTCCAGTGAAATGGAAAGGTATCTTTTTTTGTGATCTTTCTTGTCTATTTATTTCAAATAGATCTAGTTACAAAGAACATATAGGGTATGAGAACCTCTTGACACTTTCAGCTGCAAAGACAAATGCAGGGAATTCATCAACCCTCTAAACCATAACTTTATTCCTGAATGTCCCTCTTTGTATAGATATATTTATTTATTTCTAAGATAGCCAGTGACCCCACATCACCTGCATAGTTGGTAAAGCTGATCTTAGGCAAAGAGTCTTTGAGACTTCTTGTTACAGCTCTTAAGAGTGAGTGTGGTTTAACAAGTGAGATAAATTAAAAGTTTTGTATCTTTGCATTTAAATTTGTTTTTGTTTGATAATTTTTGAAATTAAGAGGAAAGGGAACCAGCTATCCTTCACTCATCTATGTAAATAGGAAAAAAACAGTTTCGTATTTGGTGTTCTAAGTACTTGGTCTTATTTTTAAAAGATTGTAGCTGTTGATATACTTCATTATTTTAATTTACCATTAATTTATCATATAAATTATTTTAAATAATAAAACATTCATACCTGCTTCTTCAGACTAAATGCCTTTATCATCAGAAATCAAGGCAAACTATGTTAATGCATGTAGCCAAGGTGTAGTTTCCTGCCAGCTAAATTCTTCACAGTATCAAGCACTGTGCCTGCTTTTATCACAAAGCATGAAGTAGCCTAACTTACTTTCAGTGAGAGGTAAACTACTTTACCTAGCACTAGATAAAAGTATGCCTATACCTAGCCATAGCTAATGCTCCTAAATTAGTATTACGTCTGTTCACCTTGACTTTTTCTGATAACATCCTTATGATACTGATCTTGTAGTTGATAAATGCTGGTTTTCTGTTCCAATGATGTTTTTCTTTTCCTCTCTCCCTATAGTTGAGGCTATATATTGTTTCACAATTTGATTAAAAAGTTACAGGCTTAAAAACAGAAGTGAAATCAAAATGAAATTCTCATTGCTTCATTTTATTATTTTATGGTGCTTCAATGACTCCATCTTCAAGTAATTTGGCTTCTGTGAAAGACACAAATTGGATTTTCTTTTCCTTACTCTAATTATTGTTTCACTGGGGAACTTAAAATGCTGATATTTTAAATTTACATCTTCATTTATACATGTGTTGCCTGATCTAGTTGAGAGGCGTCCCTGCCCATGACAGGGAGGTTGGACTAGATGATCTCTAAGGTCCCTTCCAGCCTAGGCCATTCTGTGATTTATACTGGTATAACTATGTGGTAATGGGAATCCTGAATAAGAGCTTCAGAGAACTGAAATTAAGAACAGCAAGATCATATGTTTACTTCAGTGAACTTTAAACTTCATCTTTACTTTTAAAGCAAGTAATAATAATTGTGGGCTATTTGCTGTTCTGTTTTCTACCTTAAACAAGTTCTGATCTTCAATTTATTGCCTTCCACCCGCTGTGTAGTTTTTTGCTATGTCAGCAGAAGTTTTTTCGTTAAGCTCAGACATCAGATATATTAATGATGAATCGTAACATTTTTTCCATGTCGGCACATCCCATTTCACATTACAAAGATATACGCAAAGGTAGTGTCAGTATGTATCTGTGGAAGCAAAAAGTGTCTTAATGGTATACATAAAAAATGCACCAAATTAAAGACTTACTTTTTGTACCTCTGTCGTATCAGATACCTATATGCATAACATTAGCATTGTAATGAATCTGTACTGTAGTGCTATCTTAGGATTCTTAAGTCTAGATTAAACCAGACTCTTGTGAGAACAGAGGAATCCATTATTTATGAGGTATGCTTTACATCTTAGCATACTAAAAAAACCTGTTTAAAAGGTTATTATTAGGAATAATTGCTGTGGGTAGCTGCATTGAGGTCAAAAAGGCAATTTGCATAAATTTAAACACAGGGAGTTATAAAGGCGAGAGCTTTCATCACTTCTGGGTAATGCCAGACTGGGCAATAAGGTGAAGTCAATTGTTTAGGAATTGAGTATCCTGTAGTAGAATTGGAAGGTTAACAAAATGTTTCCTAGGCAATTACTAAATAACACTCTGTAGGGAAGCTTAATATTACATATGAACAGAAAATAAAGCCCAGAACTGGAAGCAACAGCATTCACTTCCAGAAAGGTTAGGGGACTTGAATTTTCCTTGGATGTGATGTAAGCTGCAGTTCAGTCAGCATCTTTGAGAATGAAATTCTCAATCTGCAAGTGGAAACACTAATACCTACAATAACTTTCTGAAACCAGTAAGTATTCTTTGGCTTAAGGTGCAAGGGATAGAGGGATTAAGATCTTGCCTAAGAGGACAGACCAGAGGCTACATAAAATAGAAAGAGTTCATGTGTTCGTAACACTACTGAATTAGATCTCATCCAACTGACTAGCACGGGAAGTTTGTTTGGTTTGTGAATGCTGCCTTGAAATCTGCACACCGATCCCTTGATTGTTGCCTGCCTGCTATTTTAGTAATGTACTATGCTTTGCTCTTTAAGGCGAAATCAAGATTTCCCGTAAACACTTTGAAGAAGCTTTTAGGAAAGTGAAACCTTCAGTATCAAAAAAGGTAAGATAAGCTTCAAGTATGTAAGACTCATTCCTTCCCATTCCTTTTATGCTGGAGACTGGTGGGAATAGTTACAGATGGAGCGTACTTGCACATATTTAAAACTGACGCTACTTGTTTCTGTATTAAACAAGCCTGATGATTTTTACAAGGTCAAAAATTAAAGTCTCCCTTTTCAGCTCCAGATAATGCATTGCATATAGATGGATCACCATGCTGTCAAGGTTATCTTTTAGTATGGCACCTTGGACTTCTCATTGACATTCTTAGATTACTTATTGACCTGGTCCTAACCTCTTACGTATGTGGAATTTTCAGTTAGAAGTCAAGGCCTTTAACCCACCACCTTTTTTCCCCCCTAGATGGATGTGCCACCCAACAATGCTCAACCATTTCTGTTAATTTGTGAAAGAAATCGTTCTGAGATAGGACATAAAGCACACCTTATCATCTTAGTTATTTCTTATCAGTGTTTTCATTATTTGCATTTGCCAAGAAAGTTTGGTTTAAACAAACTTGTTCTTTTCAGTGACTGAAAGGAAAGCTGTTCGAACATCTTAATTACCATAATTGAGAAGGTTTAAGGAACAGTTACAGTCAAGTGAGCTAGACTAGCAAAAGATCATCTTGTCTGTTCATTTTGGCAGAACTAGATGGGGGAATAAAGCATCGATTCAGCAACTCCCCCGGTAAAGGGGGCAGTGTCTTCTTAGTGAAGCTGCAGTCTGGACCTAGCACAGCAATATTAAATCTAAGAACTCTGCCAAATGCTTCTGTTAATTCTATGGTGATTGTCAGTTGAGAAACTCATTTATGAGCCAAGGTAGTGGGGGTTTGCCTTATTTTCATTTTTGTTTGCAAGTGTTTTAAAATATAGCTGGTTTGTTTCACTTTGTTAAATAGTACATATAAAGTCACTTTTAAACATTGCATGATTTTTTACCATTGTCTAAAGTATTTTTTCCTCTTATCTTGGCACTGTTAGGATCAAATAATGTATGAAGAACTGCATCAGTCACTGTGCAGGTGACACATTTGGACAATTCCCAAAAGAGACTTATCTTGAGTTGGTGGAAAGTTTTGCGGTACCTGTGCCTGATGTCAAGAGACAGGTTGGAAAGAAGCTGTACTTAATCTCTCTCAACTTTTTAAACTGTACCTGAAAAACGTCATCATAACCTACTGCTCTAAACTATCATTAATTTAACAATTTCCAGAATAAAAGATACAATACTCACTTCCTGGTTATCACCATTTACATTTTAAAAATGAGTGCTTTTAGAGCTGAAGAGCTAATACCTTTCTGATGTATCTCGTGCCCTTAATCAGAAATTCCACAGAGGCTGAGAGGCTAACCCTGCAAAGGGTTTACACTGCTCAAATAGCTCTTCTCAAACAGAAATGCAAATAGCTGTGTTTTCAGGAACAAGGACTCTGGAAGAATCACCAGAACAGAGCTGTGAAAGTAAATGGGCAAGTGCTGCACTCTTTGTTGTCATACCATTAATCACATCATTCCCAAATCCAGTGGCACATTGTGATTGTGCCAGCACAGGCACTTGGAGCTTCTAACAGCTTCCCGTCACCTTATCGAAAAAAAAAAAAGAAAAAAAAAAAGAAAAAAACCCACCACCCCAAAAGAACGCCAACTATACACATATGGCAAGCTGTCTTGAAGTTATCTAGGAGAGAATAAAGATTGGAAACCTGAGAAATGCTATGATATTAACAGGCACCCAAGAAACATTTGAAACAGCAAGTTACCTAATAAGCTGGTTCTCAGTAGTTAAACAGACAAATCTGCAACAACAAACAATTCCATTACAGACTTGAATTTCTTAACACAAGTGATTTGATATCCTCTGGAGGAAGGAAAGGGTTACTGTTTTAAGAAACAGGCCAAGAGCCTCGAGTTTGGTGGGGTTTTTTTATTTATTTGTTTTGTCGTGTGAGGGTTGGGGTTTTTTTTATATACAAGAAATTCCATCTTGGAAAGAGGGTCATAATTTTCAGCATCATCGAACTGGCAAGTCAAGAACACTGAAATGTGACAGTTACTGAGCAACTAACTTCTGGAACCTACAAGCCTTCATGGATTGTTTTTTTACCACTGTTACCATTCTACAAAGTTCTTTAATCATTAATCTCAATTCTTATCTTTGAGTCTTTTATTCTTCCTCATAAGGATGTGCAACCATCAGTCAAGGATCAGAAAAGGAAACGGATGATTTCTGCTAGCAAATTTCATAGAAAGTCTTTTAAGACGCTAAACTTTAAATACTTTTATAAGTAATGAAATTTCCATGTAAAAACCAGTAAAATAGTTTTTGTAAGCAACATTTATTCTGTGAGCATCATTTAACATTTAAGATGGAGATCATCTAATTTCCTACTCAAATCATTATTCATTTAAAACATCGCCATGTTTTTCTAGATGTGACCCCCTGAACAACCTGATCTAACTTTAAGACTGCCCTTGCCTTTACATCTTAGATTCTTCTCTGAATTGCCACCTGGCAAAAGATTTGCATATTTTTCGCAAAGGCAAATGTGGAAGGCTATTACAAATAACTAATCACCACAGACTTACTTTTTAAAAATACGGACACTCATGGCAGCTTGTACTTACTACTGATTTTTGTGCAACATGGTAGGATATTCTCTCCCTTTTCAAGGGAAGCCTGAGACTCTGTGACCTAGGTAGTGGCCCACATGACTAACAAATGAAGTCCCTGCATATAAAGCAGAATATTATGTGTCTGCTTGTGGTTGTAAATCAGGCTCAGAGCTTCAGGAGCTAGAATGATTCTCAGAAATCCAAGATGAAGGATCATCGTTCTATTTTGCTATAGTTTCCCTTTTGTATGTTTGTTACTGTGAAGCGATGCGGTTGGTACATGACTGATTTTAATATAAAAATCATATCCAGATGTCACATACAGAGCTATACAAGAACTACCAACGTTACATAAACTTTTTCCTGTTTTAGCTCTAGATCTATACCTTTACAAGTTGTTGGTTTTTTTTACTACCTTTCTTAAATAGAAGTTTTTTTGCTTTATAAGAAGCAACAACTGCGTGAAAGTAAGCTGTGGACTTTCAGTACGATACATTCAAGTCACCTGAGTATTTGAGAGCTGAACAATGAGAAAAGAATCAAACAGGAACCCCATGAAAACAGTCTATGATACCTCAAATATGAGTTTTGAAACTGTCACCCATTCTGCCTTTAGATATGGTAATTCTAAAGGCCATCACTGTTTTTGCCTGCCTGTGGCATGCATCGCTTTCAAAGAAACACCTATATATACAAACTCAAATCAGGAATTAAATACTGTCTTAACTGTGACACAACTGCAGTGATATAATTTAGAAATATTTGTCATCCTTTCTTGCAAAAAAAGATGCGGCAAGCAAACTGCTCTTTACAGTTGAAAATAACCACGTGAATGATTTGTCCTTTATGGATACATAGAGGAGAATCCTGCTACCCTACTTAAGGAGAGCTGCAGCTCATGACCTTATGAAGGAGTAAAGTCCTCAAGCCCTGGCACAGTCACCAAAGAATTTTCGCCTCCTTTCCTCTTATGATGGTTATTATTCCTGTATATATACGGAGCAAGAAAGCAAGGTAAGGCTTGCAAGGCAAGACTGAGGAAATGCTATTTAGGTAGTAGTAAAAACAGAATTACTATTCAAACAATAACAACATGGTCTTGATGAGTTCTAACATAAAACTTAGGTTTAACATACAAGCTATCTAATGATCATTATTTTTAAAGTGTGATAGGGGAAGAGGAAGTGGGGTGCAGGAGGGTTTGAATTTATAAGAAAATCTAAAGTTGAAAGGCAGAAAAAAGCAGGTCAGTCAAGTGTCTGTGTCCTGTTTGCTTACCTTGTCTGGGCTGCACGCATGGAAAGGAGCAGACCTGGGCAGGCAAGGGAACTCCAATTGAGTGTTGACACAAGAAAGTGCTGCACCCACACTGCTACTTTTTCTTGTGGGAAATTCTGCTTAGGTTATAGTACTTGCCACTAAAGAAAACCAACTTGGTAAGAAATTAAATGAAAGATCCCTTGTACAGAGAAAGTAGGAATTACTTTAAGAAACAAGCTTTTTCAGGCAAATAGACCACTGCTTTGTTCTGCATATACAGCTACTGCCTCTCCTATCAGACATGCCTAAGGGAGGTTTTTCCCTCTAGTCATCTTGTTTCGGTGGTGACAAGATCAAGTTGTTCATCATGCCATTCTCCTCTACCTTTTCCTGAGGTTAGCCACATATCTAAATCACAAGAACGATTCTATCCCAGAGCATATTAAGATGCTAACTTAAGAATGCAGAGGCAGTACAGGGAGCTGGCAGCAGAAAGGAAAATAATAAAATGCTGTCTTCAATCTTGATTCAACAGGAAATTTTTTCAACATTTTCTTTCTCACTGAAGTCTTGTATATTCCTGCAGGTTTGATTGTGAAATAGAGGATTTGATAGAGAAGAGATAATTGTGTGCACTGAGTTCCAGGAGCTGTGCTGAAGACACATCTATGTGATTTAGACACACCTATTTGTTTCCTGGGACCTTGCAGAAGCAATCTTGGCAGACACAGAAGCGACTCCTGTTCTTTGCAATGTGCAAGCTAAAACAGTAGAACTTGCACTTTAAATGTTTTGAGACTCAAAGTACAGAGAGGAGTGCACCTTCCAAAAGCTGTGCCTTAGACACTTGTGCAGGATCACTACTTGAACATAATTTTTTTTTCTCAGTTTGCCCCAACAGGATTAGCATGGCAGCCTGCAATCTATGGCACTGCCATTATTGGTTGTGGAACCTTCTCATTAAATAAGAAATGAATAGCTTTAAATTCTGCTGTGGTATTCGACTTTGTCTGATGCAAGAATAAATGCCAAGGAGGCAGAGGTGAACCACTGAGCTCATAATCTAAGTGTCTGCTTCCCTGGAATATGCCCATTTCTCAACAATACCTATAGACTTGGAAGGTTGTGTTATGTACTAGTTGCTGGCTACATTTAAAAACTTCACCAGAGGAATTCTGAAACACAGAAGCAAAAGTCTTAAGTGCTTTTCCACTGACCTCTGTTCCCAGTAGGAAGTCTTGCCCTGGATCTGAATGTATGGAGCTCTGCAGCCAGACAGATGCACCCACTTAACACAGGTAGATTGGCCACTGCTGCAGAGCAGACAGGGTCAGCAGCAAAACCAGAATGCCGGAGGCAAGAGTGGTTTTGAGAGAGGAACATACCCACGCCTGTGCTGTGGGAAAACTCGTGCCTAGTATGATCAGCTTCCAGGATACATTACTTGTTCTGCTTAAGCAGCTTCAAATGGTTGAGGGGGGAAGGAATATGTTAAAAGCCACATGAGGCAGTTTATTCTGAAAACTCAGAAAGCCCTGAAGGGGATTCAGAGTTCTGCACAATTTAACTGCAGCCAAAATACTTTGATAATATGTTCAGCACAGCTGACTAAGTCCTCTGTGTTTTGACAGATAAACTCCCGGCTGACTTCACATAAAGGAGAGTTTTGCCAAACTAGGAGTTTGCTTGAGTTACATCTTAACAAGCATGTAGCAAGGCTGAAGTTAACTCAGATTCATTAAAAACTGTCAGGGTTCTTCATGCTCTTTAGGTTTTGTTCTTCACTGGTTAGTCAAAGCTTCTTCCAACTTTCAGATAAAACAGTTCAAGTTATACTAACCTGTTTCTGACATATTTTAAATAGCATTAATAAGAGATATTTAATTCCTTAAAAACAGTAACTAGATGGTTTATATGTTGGGTTTTTTTAAAAAAAAATGTTTATTTCTGTGCCATGCCTTTGACTAGATGCATTGCAATTGGCAAAAACTAGTAATTCATTTACAATGTATCAACTACAAGCCAAGTAGTCCAGCTGGTCTTAATTCCTTTTACCAGTTGTTCAGAAATGCTTCCAACTCTGTTTTTTAAGGATGAAACTATGCTGCAATATAGGTTAACTTTCAGATGATCTGCTTCTGAAAAAAATCTCTCCTACTGAAGTTAGATGCCAAGTCCTCTTGTGTATTACACAGGAATTATATGCTTAAGAATGTTAGTTACCAATGGTTGCAAGAGTCAGACCACAGTTTAGGTCCAAACTTAAATCTCATTGGCTCAGACAGAGTCCAGAAAGCACCCTCCCAACAGGCAACCAGTAGCAGATGTTTCAGAAAGATTATGGCAAGCATAGATAGCTCCCTCAGAATTCCCCACC